TAAATTTATTTTTAACTGACAAAATACTATAATATAAATTGTGTATATTTCTGGGTCATAATGTCATGTTTTATTCTATGTATACATTATAGAAAGATTCAGTCAAGCTAAAATATCCAGCACCTTATCAACCTAACATTTTTTTGTGAAGAAAATATTAAAAATCCATTCTTTTAGCAATTTTGAAATGTGTGAACCTTATTGCCATAGTCACCAAGCAGTGCTAGAGGTCATTGAAACTTATTCCTCCAGTTTAACAGAAACTTTGTGCCTTTTGATCAACATTTTCCCTTTTCCCATCCCTCTCCCTCCTCTTTGGCCTCTTGGAACTATCTTTTTTCATTCTAAGATCAACTTTTTTAGATTTCACATGTAAGATTAAGATTAACTGGCACACTGCATTTCTAATTACAAATATTTTACGTTGCTTGATTTTGTCCCAATAATTTTAGATCTGTTCATTTTCCTTTAATCTTTACTTTTTTAGTTTTCTTTCTCCTTTAGGATAATTTTTATTGATATGCTTTCAAGTTTACTAATTCTTTTTTCTGCTATTACTGTTAGCCTATCTAGTGAATATTTTACAGTATTTCAGTTGTACTTTGCAGTTCTGAAATTCTTTTCTTTTTAATAATTTCTCTGTGATGAGCTTCTCTATGAAATCATTAACTACTGTATTGAAGTATGTGTCTATGTGCCACTTTTCAGTTATCTCAGTTAATTTCTATTAACTTCTTGGTTTATTTTATATGGACCACTTTTTTTTTTTTGAGACAAGGTCTCAATTTGTATGTAGTTCAGGTTGGCCTTGAAATCACTTTGTAGCCCAGGCTGTCCTCAAACTTGTGGCAGTCCTTCTGCCTCAGCCTCCTGAGTGCTGGGATTATAGGCGTCTGCCACCATATCCAGCTCACATTTTCTTGTGTATTCTGTATCTAGTGATTTTCTAATGAATATTGGATGTTACACATGATGTATTGTAGATGCCCTTGATTTTGTTTATGTTTCTCTGAAGCAATATTTTTATTCTAACAGATAATTAACTTAATTAAATAATTAATTTAATGAAACCTTAATCTCTGTTTCCCCTGTTGTGTGCAACAGCTACAGTCTCAACTTAGTTCTTTCCATTTATAACTGTGGCTTTTTTTTCCTCGGTTCCCGAGGTTTCCTTCATAAGCATGTAGTTTAGCAGTCAGCCAAGAATTTGGGTTGATTTTATATGTAGGTTTTGGTTCTTGCCCCTTCTGAGTGTCCCTTTCAGGATTTTATCTTTAATTTTTGTCTGTTCTGCTATCCTCGAACCCTGTCCTCTGATCATTTAAGCTGGTAAAGCTGTAGCTTTCTGCCACCTGTATGTTAGAGAATGCCTTCAGGAAAGCATCTACAAATTAACAAACCTCGTAGATTATACTTCATTTTTCAAACTTAAACTTTTCTCCACCTCTGTCTTTTTGTTCATTCTCCAGTGTCTTCAAATAGTTGTTTTTTAAGATATGTTGTCCTGAATTTATAATGGAACGATTCCATCAATTAAGATATTTATTAATATTAAGATATTTGACCATTATGCTAAACATATTTTAATTATATTTTATAAATTAATAGTCAAAATGAATGCATAGTTTAGTTGGAATGCCATTATCCTTAATGATTCCTATATTCTTATAATTCACCTAAACTTTTTTTTCACCTAAACTTTTGATCAAATATATTACGTACAGAATATACCTTTTAAGTGCTAGTTTGGATGATAGTAAGATTGAAGTGTTCTGCTAAAAGCAGGATATACATTATGTGTTAAAGGGAATATGGTTTAATTTAGAGAATTTTCAAATATAAACCTAAGAGTTTCTTGGTAAGGGGATTATTTTAGTATAAATTAACAGATTTATCTAGCTAAAAATGGAAAAAAATTTGCATGCAAAGGACACTTCAAGTTAGAGGCAAGTAACAGACTGGAAAACAATATACTGAGAGATGTTACTGCCACACTTAGAAAAGATTAAAGATATTTAAAAATTGTGTACTTAGTAACAAAAAAGATTATGCTCAATAAAAGTTTTGGATGTTATAGGTGATGTGTTACAGAAGACGAAATACAAAGAGTTAAAAAATTCATGGCTCTATTATCAGATATGAAAGTTTAAATTGAAACAACCAGTTACCTTTTTTTGTTAGTTAACTCACAAAACTTAAGCAATTGATAAAATCTCATCCTGACAGAAATGGATATTATTGAATATTGTTGGTAGAAGTAGGAGTGTAGTCTTTTAAAGCTGTCAAAAATCTCTTAAATATTTTAATATACAGCATTGTTTGACCCATAAATTACAGTTCTAAGTATTTATTACTCAGAAAGAACAGCATTTATATTTTTATTCCTGTATGAGTTTAATATACCTATTGGCAAATATATTTGCTTAAACTTAGGAAAAAGTTGAGAAGGATACATATCACATTGTTAAGTAGTTTCTCTGGAGAATTAAGATTGGATGAGTATACTGTATTTTACTGATGTTTATACATATAATTGAGCTCTTATTTCTCAGCTCATAGCTATCACTTATATCATAACAACTCATGTAAGTACAAGTGGTAATAGTTACGAATAAACTGATTTATATTAATAGTTAATTTCTTTTATATTTGTCATTTAATTGTACTTATGCTGGATTTAGAAAAAATTGATATCCCAGATGTAAAGATTTTGAGCCAATTAAGCTATTTATGTACACTTTATGAAGAGCACTTTACCAATATCAAAATGGCTTCTTGGTATGTAAAAAAAATTACCTTTGGTCCTTAAAAGAAATATTTATAGTAGATAATTTGGAGTTTTGAATAATTGCCTACTTCCAAAACCTATATTTAACTTTACACGTTTTGTACATATGTGACACTTGGAATGTGATAAACTACCATTTGGGCAGAAGATGTGTCTTATTTAATTTATATTTTATACTTCTCAGCACAGTAACTAATACTAGTATTTCATAATTTCACTGGATTTGATTATTTCATAACTGTTGTTACATTTGGTCATTTGTTGCACTGAGTTATCCAGTTCTATTAGTCCTATTCCTGCCAGTTTCCAAAAATGATATGAAATGGTTTCTAATTTAGAGTCACAATGAATATTTAAGTAATTTAGACAACATTTAGTTATTAGAATAGTTTATTCATAAGTTTCTTTTGGTAAATACAATAGTCCCCTCGTAGGTACAGGGTCTACATTTCAAGACCCCAGCCAGTGTTTGCTTTTGATGGCAGATAGTACTAAACCCTATGTATAATTTTTTTTTTCTTAAATTCTTTTATTGGTACATTTTAGGTATACAACACATTTACATTTCTCTTTGGGAACTTGTACCTTTACATGATGCATCTTGGTTCTTTTTTCTTTCCCCATTCCTAGCCCTCCCTTCACCCCCTCCAC